ATTTATAGGCTAGATCGCGAAATCGGCTCCGCAGTTACACATTTTTGATGGGAGCTCCTAAAGGTAAAAAATAAACGCGCATATGGGGACCCCTCCCCCATGCGCGGCGGTCGATAAGGGCGGAGAGGCGCCATCCACCTAGCGGCTGTGCGGAACGAACCCCCTACCGGGGAGGTGCTAGAACCCGCGACCTCCGGATGGGAAGCCCGGTGCTCTACCGCTCGACCGCTGGCACACACGATAACACGTGCATCCTCAGCCCGGATGGGGGCTTGGGAGAGAGAAGGGTGCAACTGCACGTTCATAGGCCTCCGGCCGGGCCTCCTGTGCTGCCCCGCACAGCGGGGACCCCCAGCACAGTCGGCCCTCTTGCCGACGGTATTTATCATATTACACTCATCACTGGACTTACGGACACTTGTTACTTGACCCACGCTACATTTTCCGAGAATGTCTAAATCCGGATTCGAACCCACGACCTAACGCTCGTCAAACCGACTACTAGCCCATTACGCCAATGCGCCACACAAAACTCATATCGAACTTTTCGCTACGCCTTTGCACAAAGCGCGATTTTTGGGGCGCATTTTCGCATAAAACGTGAATTGACAAATTATCGTGGTCGATTTCTCGTAAGCAAATCTATAAACCAGAATTCCAAGACCATATCTGTGCTAATAAAGGCCTTCTCTACCTACACCCGGAGTTTGAAAAACTTTTTTGTGGATTTTGAGCGAAATCGGCTGCAAAAGTACCAAATTCGCTGTGTATTCTGGGAGGTATTTTAGCGCGCGCCTGGGGCCCCTCCCCCTGCGCGCTGAAGTGTTGAGCGTGTCAAAAAGACGTCCACCTAGCACCGGTGTGGTGCCTGATCGGTGCACTGCGTTGGCACCATGCTAGTAGCAGCAGCAGCCCGACTTTTCACATTGTGGTACGCTATTGTGAGACTCGTCATTAGTGCTGGATAGTCCTCCTTGTCGGTGTTGTCCTCGCAACCATCGGCCGTATTGTCTGCTCCGATGGTTGCGCAGTGTCAGCTGTGTCGTGTCGGTTGCTCATGGTACTGCAGCTGGTTGCGCTGTCGCGCGTTACTTGGATCTTTCGGAGGGGAATCGCAAGGCTGTAGGCACTGAGGGGTCCGTGCACCCCACTGGCGTGGGGCCCCGCACGGACCTTCTGGGATTCGAACCTAAGACCTCGGGAATGAGAAACATGAGCACTAACCACTACACTATC